TTGTGGATTCCGATCACTAGCTGTAGCTATATTTCAAGAAGAAGGCAAATGGCAAGATGTAAAGATTGCTATGAAGTCTCAGCTGACCAAGCAGCAATATATATACGGTAACATACTTGGATATGACACCAGTCGACTAATATCTGTTCTATCATGTTTTCAGCCAGGATGTTCACGAGAGTACTGGTTTTATGTGCCAGAATGTGCTCAGCTAGCATCTGATACATTTAACATACCAATAGCAGCATTTAGTGAGGATTCTACGTCAAGTCTTTTTTTTTTGCCATTCGATAAAAAGCCTGGGCGTCGTAAAAAGCCTATCATTTTGCATTGGCACGGAAAAGATCATGTCGTATTGGTTAAACTCAAGCAACATAGGGATATACAAGTTCCACATTTAAACCCTCAATATATACCTATTTGCCGACGCTTAGGCTTTTCTGAAGATTGGCATTCTCTTTTTGTATAGACTTATGCAATGTCTGTTTCTAGATATGTCGTACATGCTTGTATAATTTATTTGATACGTATTAGCATTGTAATTCAGTTCAATTCTTGGTTACCATGATATAGTAAGTATCGTGAAGGTAATATTTATTTATTTATAAATGCCAAAAATCCATATATATGATTGAGACACAAAATTATATATTTGTGAGGTAATAGGAATAATCTAAGCGATATATCATGCAACTTTATTTAATGAACGACGTTTGTTTTGTTTTATAATGAAAACTAAGATCAGTATTATCACGAAGTAGCAAAGGACTTAATTGTATTAATTGTGTCTGTTATATGTAAGATAGTAAAACCATCTTCGTGACCTGATACTTTTAATATATAAATATTGGTTTTGGGGATTTTTTTTTAAATTCATATTAACTAATCGGGTCAGTAAACCTTTTTATTGAATTTAGAGAATATGCGTTAAAAATATAAACCAAAAAACGTGAAAGTTAAAAAATCTATATCAACTTGCTTATTCACGAATATTGTAATCATATTAATTTAAGCCGATTTAAATAAAGTGCTTGTAAAGGCACCGTTAGTTTCGCATAAAAGTAATTTTTTCATTTTTATAATAAATTTGATATATGCGAAATTTTTGATGTACAAAATTTTGATGTACGAAAATAACTGTCGAATTTCAAGAGACCAATAAATGCTGTGATTTTATTGGCCAAACCTAAATTGATGTACGTGAAGTTACACGAAACTGATGTACGAAAATCATTCCTCA